TCTATGGGAAGAAATGACAAGGTGCGAGTTGTCGTAAATACGTTGTCGTAAATACGCTCCACGGCCACAATGTGGCTGACCCCCTACAAGTATGTTTTGCCAAGAACCTGAGGAGTAGAGTCCTCTGGGAATTTCTGTTGCCGGTTTAGAGTGACCCTTTGTGAAATCTAAACAATTTTGTGATAGTGCTTTTAGTTCGTAACAGATGGCAGCTGCTAACCAGGAGCTTGTCTATGTGCTGCAGCCAGAGCAAGCCGCTCAGCAAGCTCAGGCCGCTCAGCAACACCAGGAGGCTCAAGCTCAGGCCCAAGTCGCTCAGCAGAAAGCTCAAGCCCAAGTTGCTCAGCAGCTGATTGGACATCAGGAAGGTCTCTTTGTGAGTCAGGTTTTGCAGCCTGATAGTTTATACACGAAAGCATTCCAGCACTGGTGAAATGCAAAAGAACGAGCAACAAAACAAACTATGCTGCAACATGGTGACTTACTTTATTGTTCCCCGTACTCTTCTGCATTTCAGGTTTACTGGAATGCCTTGTTATAATCTGTAAGCTCTCTAAGTACATAACACTTTAACACTTATCACACGAATATTTGGTAAATCCATAACGGTTATTTTCGTTTTTAATCTGTTAAGGGTAATGCTAGGCGTTACCGGTTATCGGGTATAACATTACGAATAACAAAACGCCATTAAGGTGCTTGTATGATAAGTTACGGACCCCTGCCAAAAGGACAAGTTTGTTCAATCTTCTGATATCCGTTCAATAAAATGAGGTAAATTTGAACCAACTGACCTCCCATTAATAATTAGGGCAGTATTTTCTGCGATACGAAAACGCCCCTAAGAGTAGTTTTAGCTGAACGTTTAGCGAAGCCCATTATTCCAATGACAGAAAAAGTTTTATTCAGTTTTGTGTGCTTGACTGTCTGCATGTATGCACGATAACTCAAGAAGGAATCGAGGTCAGCGACCTAGGAATTTTACGATCGTTTTTTCTCATGACGAGACAGACCGAGTTCAGAGATGGGCATTCTAGGCCAAAAATAGACTTTCTTAAAAATCAAAAACCATATGTCTGAAATAAAATAGGGGTAACATGCAAAAATTCTGTTAATACACTTCGTTCAGCTACCCCGTGCATAATGTTAACGCACGGGGCCCTCACAAAGCGAACTTAAGTGAACTTTGTGTGAACTTCGACTTCGGGTGTACATTTTTCTGGAGCCTATGTTGAGTTAATGTACAGTTAACTAGGTAGATGTACGCCAGACCACGTCTCGCGTAACAGGCTTCGCGATATCTCACGAAACACTGCTACGCTGCGACGCGCCTGGCATAAATCTACCTAGGCCTGCGGCACTGACACCCGAGTCGGGTAGTGCAAAAATGTACACAAAGATACGGGCCTCCAGCCTGTCAACTTCCCATCTCTTGACTAAACATGCAGGGTTGTACATTTTTCGCTTGTTTTCGTCAATAACTCCCTGTGGCGCCCAAATGGTTAAAGATAGAGCAAAACGGACGAAATTCTCGCCCATAGGGCTCTACTTTGACGAGGTACCCATTAGAAAACTGTAATGTTTTTCAAAAACATTATTTGTGGGACTTGTGGTTTTTGATTTTTTTAAAATCCAATTTTTGAGCTAGAATGCTCTTCTTCGAACTTAATCTGTCTTTTTAAGATACAAAACGACCCTGAAAATCCCAGGTCGCTAGCTCAATTTGTTTTTTAGTTATCGTGATGACAGACAGACAGACACACACACAGACAGACGCGAAACTTTTTGATCATCAGTGGAGTAATAGGCTTCGCTAATCGCTTCGTTTCGAAAAAGTATATCTAAAGTTCTATTACCCCGTCTCGGGTGTCAGCGCCGCACGCCTAGCTATATGTGCGCCAGGCGCGTCGCAGCGTAACAGTGTTTCGTGAGATATCGCGAAGCCTGTTACGCGAGACGTGGTCTGGCGTACATATAGCTAGTTTTAAATCTCAAGTGTATTCACGTCATAAAATGCATCAACTATAAACAACTACAGTTAAAATCACAGATTTCATGGCAGGAAATTCACGAAACATTTACGACACAGAAATGTTAACATTCAACAGTATAAGTACAAAACAGTCAGAGGTTTGCATTTGCAGCAAAGAAACAAAAAATTTTAGGGGACGGCTCTCCCCCAAAGGGGCGCCGAGCCCCCAGCTCCACATAAAATTGGCACAGTAGTCAAACAGTTAAAGTTCAACGGTTACATAACGACCGTTTACGTTCA